TAAGTGGTGTCAGCACCAAAGTTGAGACTCAGTGGTGAGCAGCTGAAAACTTTCCTTCTGAGATCAGGATTGAGAAGGGATTAGCTACCACTTCCACTTCTGCTCAACACTGCTCTAGCTAGGATCATAGCCAGTCCAATAAGGCAAGAAAAAGAAATAAGAGGCGCAACAATTGGAAAAGAAAAACGTTCATTATCCGTGGCTGACAAAAAAATCAAACAATCTAAAAAGTTACTAGAGTGAGTGAGTTTAGCATGATTGCTGCACACCAGGTGAATGTACTGAAACCAAATGCATTTTTATCAACAAGTAACAGAAAATGATAAAAACAAAAAGTTAACCATAAATAATAACATCAAGAAATCAACTCCCTAGGAGTAAATCTAGAAAGAGATAGGCAAAATTTCTATAAATAAGACCGTAAGACACTGGGAGAAATTAAAGACCAAAATAAGTAGAGGGATAAACCTGTACTGGTAAAAGGATAAACTAACGGAAGAGTAGAATCTAGGAACAGGCCCACACACAAGCAGACCCTTGACTTACGACAGAGCTACATAGAACCGCAGGTGCAGCAAAGAAAGGCAGACTTCTCAACACCTAGTGCTGGATCAACAGAAATATATGGACAAACTTTCCCCAGCTAACTTTCATAAACCTCAATTCCAGGTGGATTACAGCTCTAAAGTGAGAAGCAGAACAGTTAAGACTTTTAGAGAAGATGACCCCAAATCTCCAAGACCTTGGGGAGGAAAAGCTTTCTTAAACACGACACAGAAATCATTAGGAAAAGATCAATTTTAACACTGCCTAATTAATCAGTGACTTCAGTTCCTCAAAAGACATCATTATGTGAGTGGGAAAAGCTGTTTGCAATACACCCAAACAATAAAGATTTGCATTAAGAATGAAGAACTCCTGGGGGCGCCTGGGTGGCTAAGTCGGTTGAATGTCTGAGACTCTTTTATTTCAGCTTAGGTCTTGATCTCGGGGTGGTGGGTTTGAGCCCCATGTTGGGCTCCAGGCTGGCTGTGGAGTCTGCTTAAAAAAAAAAAAGTGTTCACCAAATTCAACCTTTGTACTTGTTTCCAAAGCAACCATTATTTTTATTGGATTTTTATTGTTAAGAATTCCTGTATGTCTTTATAGGAATCCGGTTGGTGGAAGAATTCAGCTGGCGACTGCCGTTGCAATCGCTCTCCTCCCATTTATCTCTTGGATCTACATCTACATAAACAAGGAGATGCGGTCCTCCTGGCCAACTCACTGCAAGACAGTAATTTAAATGAAGTCAAGAATCCTCTTCTTCAAATGAGTATTGTCAATCAATTGTTTATAAACGTGGTTGTAACAAGCCAATTTCCTAGGAGTTTATTTAGGTAATTTGAGCTAATTTTAGAGGTGATAAAAAAAATCCTAAGAACTTTCTGAGGATGCCTACGACACAGCATGGGATTGCATGGGACTGGTAAGAGACGGGGGTCTGACATTCAGTTGTCACAGTGTAGTAAAAAAGGCAACAGAACGAAAGTTCAGAAATGTGAATTCTAACTCAACATATCACTACCTATATGCCTTGGGCAAATATATGAACCTCCTGGTGGATGTCTTCATCTGTAAAATAGGATTAATACCAGATCTCCTACTCACTTGTACAGTTTCAAGGATTAAACTGGAGAATATGAGAGCACTCCAGAAATACCAAATGCTTGTAAGGGGCTACACATGAATAAAACAGAGGAAAGCAGGGTTTGGGTGATAGGATAGACACAGAGGTTCAAGAAAGGGCTGTGCCCCTGCACTGAACTCACTGAATAGGACCAGGGCAGCACCATGAACTAAATGGGGATGCCAAATGAACGAGTGTGTCTTAGAGAGGAGAGTTAGGTAGAATACAGGAATTTGGGACCAAAAGGAAAGAGGCAATATTAAATGCACTGCAAATAAAAAATAAGACCAAAATCTGTACACATTTTTTAAAAAATGAATGTCAAAGGTCACCCAGGGGAGAAGACCGTTTTGGAGCTGTACTCTCCAATGTGTTAACTCTAGTACCATAACCATGATGCATACACACACACACAACATGGGAACATCACTATGGTGCACACATATATGACATGATAACATCACATAACCATAACATGTTGCATTGAGCACCTGAAATGTGGCCAGACTGAGGAAGTAAAATTCTGCTTTTTTCATTTTAATTTTAAAACATGTCAATTCAATCATTAGAAAACTTGTGTGTGTGGAACGCTTAGGTGTGTTTGGAACAATTGGACATGTGAATCTACTTCTTTAACTGCAGGTTTTACATCTAAATACAGATCAAGTATTTCCAGGGAAAATGTAATGTCAATGGATGGGTTATTAAATATAAAATAGATCCTGGATTTTAAAGACATAGTACAAAAAGAATGTAAAATATTCTTATATTGATTACATGTTGAAATATTTTAGATTTGAGTTTAGATATTTTAGAGTGTAGATATTTTAGAATTGAGTTTAATATAAAATATATCATTAAAATTAATTGTTATCTGTTTCTATTTACTTTGTAAAATGTGACTGCTTTCAATTACTTCTATGGCTCACATCGTATTTTTGTTGGATGGCGATTTTTTTACATCTACTAGCATCAAAACACTGGAGTCAAGATTCCATTTCATGAGATTTAGGAAACACTTCACTCAAAACATATTCATATACATATATCAGGAGAGGGGAAATAAGTCAGGCCATTTGTCTGTTTTTACAGCCTTTAATACAATATTACGTATTCTACAAATATTTGTTAAAGGAGGTATGTATGGTTTTTGTTTTACACAATGGCCACTGGACAGGCAAAATTCTCTGTTAAGATTGAGATGAAGGAAAAGGAGAAAAAAATCTAGTCGATATTAAAACAAATAACGTGAAATTTATTTTAAGGGTCAATAAAATACGTATAAAGGATTCCGGGGCTCCAGTATACATTTAGCTTGCATGATGCGTCTGGTTTTTACATCTCTTTTAATGTAACTACTAAAATCACATAGGAAAAAATGGACTCATTTGCAAATTCCATCTAGGATCTACCTATCCTCCATGTAATGCTTGATTCTGTGCTTAAAAGACAGAAATGTTCCAATTTAAAAAAAAGTGATGTTCCAAATAGACTTTCATCCTATCTGCACCTCTGGTATCACACTATGAATTCTGTGATGATACGCAATTCCTTTTATATATCTATGAGCACGGCCTCCTGAAAGGAGTCTTTATTACTGAGATTGTTGTAGACTCCAGTTCTCAACTGAATTTCAGGAAGCTCAATGTCTCTATTATCCAAGCCTCTGCCTTCCCACCCGTCTTTTCTCTTCCCTCTGGCAGGATCTCCACCAGCCTCTCATTACCGCTGCCAGGACTGAGACACAGATCGAATCACAGCTTCCCTGCTGTCTGACAAGCCCAGCTCTAACTGTGGGCTCATTATTCAAGGCTCTTCACGACACAGGCCTGTCCGCTTCTTGCGCTACTTCTTGCCATAAACCCAGGCACCTTTCGGTGAATCTTCAGTGTTACTCCTCACTCCTCAATTCAGCATGCCCTTTAACCTCTGCTGATGCTATTCTGCCCACCTGTCAAAACCATTTTCCTCCTCCTTCAAGTCATCCCTCATCCCATTAAACAAATTTAAACGCCCCTCCACATTCCCAGGCCTTTCTTCTGAATTTGGTATCTATGGATGGTAAGGCTGGTGAATGCAGGGAGCACGTGACAGTCACCTCTCCCGTGGACTGAATCATGGCCCTCGGGGATCCCCAGGTCCTGGTCCCCAGAACCCAGGACCGTGACCTTGCACCACAAAACAGACTTTGCAGATACGATAGAGCTAAAGGTCTTGAGATGGGGAGATAAGCGTGGAGGTAATCACAGCTGTCCTGATAAGGCAGGCAGAGGGAGGTTTGAAGAGGGCTTTGAGCCAGGAATGGAAGGCAGGAAGCGGGCTCTAGAAACTGGGAAGGGCAAGGAAGCGGATTCTGCCTCGGAGCCCCCTGAGGGGGGACAACACCTTGAGCTCAGCCCAGGGAAAATGGTTCAGACTTCTGGCCTCCCAAACTGTAGGAGAGCATGTACGTGCTGTCTGAAGCCACCAACGCGGTGGCGGATTGGCCGAGCAGCCGCAGAGCACGAACACGCCTCCGCACCCCCAGAGCCTGGGCACTCGGCAGGCACGCTGACGCTGACGAGTACTGCTTTTTTCTCTCCTGATGTTTTCAGGCCCGGAGTCAAACTTTCTCTACATTTCAACAGTCCCTTTGCTATCCAGTAAGTGTTGCCACAAATAAGCCTTAGCACATAGGACAACCAAATTAACGTGCCCCATTTGTCTAGAAAGGGAGTCAAGAGTAAACTCATTTACCCGCTGTGGTCTCCAGCTGCGGGAGACGAGCTGCTGCCCAAAGAGACCAGACCAGTGGGCACACGGCTACACTGGCCCTTGGTCTTGCTTTGCTTAGAGTCACAAGGCCACCGCGTGACTTCTCGGGAGGCCCTTCTCATGGCCTCACGCGGAGAGACTACACATTCACCTGTGAAATAACTTACTTGTTGTTAACACAACAGGGATACAAGCCTATAAATGTACAAACATGATGGGTATTCGGAGCAAAATGTCCAACGTTCATTCACACGGCAGGATACACAGAGAAAGTTTACCTGAGCTGATTTTATTTTTTTATTACGAATTTTAAGTTACATAGTTAATACACGGATACATCCTCATTGTAAAAAGTAAAAAAATGTCAGATAAGGCTAAATGAAGTCAGTTTTGAGAACTATACCACCCGCCCTCTGTCTCCTCCCTGGCTGATTCAGGCTGCTTTCATTCATTTTGTTTCCAATCCTCAGCACTGGATAGATTATCCAAAAATGACATTTCAGAGTATCTCATGAGCTAACGCACACTGGGGCCATAAATACATTTTGTTATGCAAATAGAATGCTACACAACGAGCCTGAGGATTGGGGGGGGGGTGGTAAACAAAAACACAACGCTCAACCACCACTCTCTAGAACGGTAAACAAGATAAATCGGACTAAAACTGGAAAGCGTTTTCCTTCTTATAATTCATAATTCTGTCTGGAACTCGGCCTCTCCCTTTCAACATCATTTTGTCAGGGTAGACATAAACGGTGCCAAAAGCCTGGCTGTCCGGAGCCGTTTCAATAACCCCTTCTAGGTTGATGTGGTGCACACCAAAAGGATCCTCAGAGTAGCCACCATCGTGAGTGTGACCAGCGAAGAAACACACCACACACTTGTGAGACCAAATGACTGCCAGGGCATCTCTGTAATTCCAGGCCAGGCACACACTGTCAGAGGCCTCTGGGTAAATGGGAAGATGGCCTGTTAGTTAAAGAGAAGAAGAGTTAGGAGCCAATTAGGAAATGTCTCTTTCATCAAAACAAATGGCGAGAAACTAATACACAGAAAAAAAAAAAAAAAAGGATATTGCTACTTATTTCAAATAGACTAAGACCAGAGAGAAGCACCAAATAATCCACAGCCACATCTCTGCCACATACAGAAGGGGGGACAGTCCACATACACGGGGAGAGGCCACTGTCCAGGCAGAACCCCTGAGATCCCTACAGCCTACAGTGTCTAAAGAGGCACCAACCCCGAGAAAAACTGAGGGCATCCCATGCAGAACGGTCCGCGAGGATGGCCAGAAGCCAGGTAGATGCCGTGCTGGAGTCCAGTCTCTTGAACACGAGTGCTGGGGACACAGAAAGAGGTACCCCTAAACTTGAGAACAGTTTAGGGATGGGTCATGGGTTGGAGGTCATTTCTAGAGACACTCAGTGCTTTAAAACGGATTTGTGCCACGTTTAAACGCCTCCATGAGATCCCGGGAGCCGGAGCCATTTTACAGATGAGAAAAGCAAGGTAAAGCAGGGAGTATTTATACTCGGTCCCACAGGACGTACATGGAAGTAGAGCCAAAGGATTTCGAATTCCTGACGCCAAGACACACATGAGGTCACGTCATGTCTCACTCTGGAGCGCGGGCACAAAAGCTCCCTCGGCTTTGCTTCTTGCCCTGAAATCACTTTCCTGTTTTGTTACTATTTACTTGTTACTGAAATTTATTCTGAATTTTTCCTATGAATATTTTTACTGTTTGATATCTATCAGTTTGTAATACAAGTTACAAAGGGGGTTGTTAACAGATCCCTAAAGAGTCAAAGGAGTCAGAAGAACTTATAAGTGTGTGTGTGCGCGCACACACACACACACACACAACCACTCTTGAAGCCGTGATGACAGCTCAGAGTCCAAAGGGGCCGGCAACTCTCCAGATCGAGAGGCCACACTGGACTCCTGACACAGTGACCTGCTCCCCCTCCTTGAAACACTGGGCTGCCAGGACACCACCAGTCCCCCTTGACTTCCTCCAACCTCGATGGCCACAAATTCTCACTCCCCTCCGCGGGCTCCTAATCTCCCCCACTTCCTACTGGGAGTGCCTGAATGCTTGGTCCTTGGGCTCCACTTCCCTATTGACACATAATGGCCTGGTGACCTTGTAACTTCTCAAATCTAGTATAAAGTGGCTGGTGATCTAGTAAAGTATCGAACGTCTCTGACCTTCTCTCCACTCCCACATGTTTATACCCAGCCCAGACTTCCACTCTGAATTTCAGACCCAAACATCCAAACTGCTGACTCAACATCTCCACGGATGCCTGATGGGTGTCTGAAACTTAACCCTTCCATGGCCAAACTCCAGAACTCCCCACCTGGCACCCCCTCCTAGGGCAGGGTCCCATACATCAGCGAACATGTCAGCAAACAGCATGCTAGCCTTCCAACTGCATGGCCAAAACCCCACAGGTGGAGGCAAAATGACCTCTCAGTCCCTAAAATGCAAAGTCAAAGAGCAAACTAAAATGAAAGAGAATCGCCATTAGCCATTTAAAACTTTGCTACAGAAAACCTGACGCACTCAGTTGCCAAAGGTTTGTTCATCCGGGTTCTGGGCTTACAGTGAAAGGGAGGAATTTAAGAGGCGGCTAATGTAGACAGGGGCCCTGACGGACAGGGTGGGAAAGGAGATGGGAGGGCCTCGAGTCTCAGCCAGAATCACATGCTACTGACACAACTAGGTCATTTAATCTCCCAGTCTCCCAATCTTTGAACTGAAAGGGCTGACGATAAGACGTGTAGGTCCCTTCCAGCTCCAGTGTTCTCTGGAGTGACAGGCACAGCCTGACAGTGGGAAGCCAAACAGCAGAGACACATCGAGAATTGTTCCGGTTCTAGAGACCACCTACTGCAGTGCCAAAGAGGGTCACAACGCGCGATAACCGCCGAGGAATCCTGTACTCTCCGAGCCTGGGATAACACTTGGAATTCCCATGACAGCACACACACTCCTACTCCATCTACACGTCTGCCCCACATCGGGGAAAGATTCGCAAGTATTTATGGAAATATACTTTTAGATCATCAACTATCAGAATAGCTTGTCGTTTTCAAGGGGTTTTCACGTTCGTAATTCCATTTGGTGCAATGCAGAGAAAAACCGCAGTTTGTAGGTTCAACATTTACGCAGACTCACACAGCTCACAGAAGCAAATGCACACAGACCAGCCTCCCGTCCCTGGGACCCCAGGCACGGTCCTCTCCGTCGTTCTGCCACATCAGTTCTAAAGCGAGGATCTAAACTCAGTGCCCAAACCAAGTATACCAGCCACACTGCAAATCCAAATTCAGTGCCCCATGTGCACACACCTGCAGCTGAGTGTATGTTAAGCACCCCGATTCGTACGACCTGTGATGACAGCGTGTCTGGAAAAGACATTCTAGGTGGAAATAACAGCAATCTTACTTCCTTGCAAACACATGGCAGAGAGTCTAGAACCGCAGTACTCACTGCCAGGTGAGTCTCTAACGTGTGTCCTATTACAAGCTTCGCTTCCAACTAGACAGCAGAGGCCCCTGGCCGGCAGCCACCACACCGACGGGCAGGTGTCCTGAGGCTGAGGTTGGGTATGGGGCCTGGCCTGAACTGCTCCCTCAGATATCACAGTTGACCCGTGAACAAAGGTTTAGACTGCGCGGGTCCACTTATCCACACATTTTTACAGTAAATACAGAAAATACAGTGAATGTATTTTCTCTTCCTTGTGATTTTCTTAACATTTTCTTTTCTCTAGCTTACTTATTGTAAGAAGGCAGCATATAATACACACAACATACAAAATATGCATCAACCAACTGTTATCGGTAAGGCTTCTAGCCAACAGTAGGCCATTTGTAGTTAAGTCTCTAGAGTCAAAAGTTGTATGTGGATTTTCGACTGTGGCGGGGGGGGGCAGCACCCCTAACCCCCACACTGTTCAAGGGTCAACTGTACTATGCAAAATGATCCCATGTGCTGGAATTCCACTCGGAAACCCAAAAGGCCAACGTACAGGCACTAACACATGGCAAGATGTTTTTTCTATTTTACGGTTCTTTCCTGACCCAGCTGTAAATGTCAATCTTATACTCAGGTTCTCAATAAAGAAAGGTAAGCATTCATTTGACAGCAAGAGGACACCACGACATAAATATTATTAGTACACTTTCGAACCCCACTTTCCCATTCTCTAAAATGCTGGCATAATCAAGTAATTTAAATACTTACTCACAATCACCACTTTTTCCTGGTTTGTGTCAGAGAACGTAAGAACTTCATTCAACCAGTTCAGCTGCTCTTGGCTGAATCCTCCATTAAACTGGACAAACTGGGGCTCAGAAAGTCCTGAAATGAATGCAGTATGTCAGACCCATCCAATGTCAGCTTCTTCCTCCTTTGGGCATGCACACTTGGCTAATGTGGGGACCCCTGTACTTTTCTGTAGGAATGTGCGGCAGCAGTTGACTTAAAATAAGAAACCACAAGAATTTACAGCAACCCAGACAGATAAATGGCCTGTACGCACTCAACTGCTTACCTCGCTAGCTCCGCGTTACACTGAAAACAAAACACAGCCTTCTGACCGTGTCCACGGGCCACACAAAGTCACCTTGTGCCCCACTGGCCTTTTCCTGAGTCCTTTAATGATGCTAACATGTCACTCCGCTCACGCTTTTCCATCTGCCCCCCTCTCTGTCCTGAATACTCCGCCCACCCCACACTTCCCAAGGATGATGACTCCTTCCAATCATTTAGGTTTCTGCTTACATGTTTTTCTCCCGGGAGAGACCACCTCTGACCAGCTAAGCTAAAACACTACCCTGAGTCCTTTTCTTTAACCTTACACATAATTTTCTCGGTAGCATTTATTGCTGCGGACGTAATTCTATTTGTTTCATTCATGGTCTGTCCTGCCCGCCTACTTCTCTTGCTTCCTCCACTGCATCCGTCAAAAGATAAACAAAGGTGACCCTGTCAGCATTGCTTCCGGCTCTGAAGAGCCAGCCCTCGAGAAAGGGCCCGGCCCAGAACAGGCATTCAGATACCCGTTAAATAAATGAATCTTGAACCAACAGCAGCCAATCCACGCGCCGGGAGAAATCCTGACCCTGAACAACAGTGACAATATACTTTTACCTTAATCATCCATCTTCCTGCTGAATAAAAGGTAGCTGAAGAATGGAAAGACAATGTATTAGACTCTCAGCTCAAAGGAATAATTCACCTTGCGGACTATTCAACTCCGAATTTGGATTGTGCTCCTTCAGTATCTTCAGACACTGCTGGTATTTTGGAGAGGACTGATCCACGCCTAAGACGCTCAAGTCGTAAGCATCCAGTAAAATGAACCGGAATTGAGGGAATGGGACAAAGTGATAAGCATAGTAATCCTCCGAAGGCACAGTCTCGGGATGGTGCACAATCTGGTCTTCTAGAAACTTTGTGTTAAGCTTAGAATTTGTTAGGTAGTTTCTGCTGAAGTTATAGAACTCGTGGTTCCCCCACGTGTGATGAACGGGGACTTTAAGCATCTGGAAAGTGTTCATAACAAGTTCGAGTGACTTTTCGGACACTTTGTACTGTGCGTTATACCCGTCAATGATATCCCCAAGCTGAAGCACACAGCGGGGCGGGCTGCCCTCCATATTCCAGTGTTCAATAGCACTCCGTAAGTGAAGCAGACTGTGTCTGTAGTATCTTCGTCTGTTTCCTTGGAAGTTATAGCCATCTTCTAAATCAGCGTATTGGATATCTGCTATCACTCCAAAGGAGAAGAGAACTTCCGAATTCTCACTCAGGGTTCCAGGGTCAGGCTTATCGTCCATAACCTTCAAACGGGTTTCTAAACAAAATAAAGAACATAACTACACTATAAACATCTTACTTTTCTAAATGGGCTGCAGAGGATGGTAAAGTATTAACAGTTAATCCGCCAGGTAGCGTGGTAGAGAGAAAAGCACATGGGTCTTAAAGTCCAATTGTCCTACAGCCAAAGTACCGAGTCTTTGAAACAGTTCAGTTTTCTCATCTGTAAAATAACCTCTATTCTTCAGAAGAGTAATTTACAAAAGGGTATTATCCTATTAATGAACAGGTATTCTAAATCCAGAAAAGTCAAATTCACATCTGGTAGAATTTGTAATTTTTAAGAAATACACACTAGTTTGTTACACACTTACATATACATACACATAGACACACACACACACACAGACACACACAGTACTTTCTTCCACAAACACCAAAATAATTCTATCGAAACTTCAGGATTCTTTTTACAAAAAATTACATATTACACTCATTCATTGTACTTTATACATTAGATTCCCACTACAGATTATTTCATGTCAGGCTGGATCTTTTGTCTTCTTTGGTGGGTAGGTCACTTGAAAGAACTTGGCTCATATTTTATATCTGGGATAATGGGGGAGGAAATGAAGAAAAAGGGGAATCATTTTAAACAAACAAAAACTAACTATAATATTGATGTGACTATCTTCATTTCTGACAAATGGTTCCTGATTCTTCAGTTGTTGGATTCCAATCTGAACCAGCTTTTCTTAACATGAATCTTAACTACCCTGTCCCCAAAACCAAAATGGAAAACATGTCACCTTTTCTTCTCACACGTGATCTGCGCCTTGCCACACTAGCCAAGAATAAGGGATTTAGACCTGAAAAGCTATTGTTTTACTAGATTGTTTACAATCTAAATTTATAATCATTTCTAACGCCTCAAAAGAGCCAAGAACACTAAAGATTAAAAATAAAAACCAGGGGGGGCGCCTGGGTGGCTCAGTCGTTAAGCATCTGCCTTCGGCTCAGGTCATGATCTCAGGGTCCTGGGATCGAGCCCACATCGGGCTCCCTACTCCACGGGAAGCCTGCTTCTCCCTCTCCCGCTCCCCCTGCTTGTGTTCCTGCGCTCGCTGTGCTTTTCTTTGTCAAATAAATAAATAAAATCTTTAAAAAAATAAAAACCAGGGGCACCTGGGTGGCTCAGTCGGTTAAGCATCTGCCTTTGGCTCAGGTCATGATCCCAGGGTCCTGGGATCGAGGCTTCCGGCTCATCGGGAAGTCTGCTTCTCCCCCTCCCCCTCCCCCCTGCTTGTGCTCTCTCTCTTGTTCTCGCTCTCTCTTGCTCTTTCTCTCAAATAAATAAAATCTTTAAAAATAAAATAAAAACCAAAGGCCATGATCCTAGAAGATCAACTATTCTTATTATAAAGTCTACAGTACTACACTGTGCTGTGGGATCGAAGCATATTAAAGCCTCGCTGTTTCTAAAAAAACTTCATGTGTAATTTCTAAAATTACTTCTCGACTCCTGGCCTCCAGCAGCCCACTACAGCTACCGAGTTCTCTTCAATCACCCACAGATACGTGAAATCCTAGCTGACGGAGCACTGCTGTCCGAGGCGGGGGTGACAAACTCCACAGCCGGCAAGAGGGCCGGGCGGCAACCTGACTTCCTTGAGAATTAGAGGCCTCTTTTCATTCTGAAACTGTTGTCACGAGGGACACACATTCTATGTGATCCACCCAATTGTGAGCTTAATCGGGTTGTGTATAACTAGCCCTAACAAAGGTATAAAGCAGCATTAGAAAAAGGCTGGAAATCCTGAAAAATGGCTTGGTGTTCTGACACTTTTTTTTTCATTTGCTTGTTTCGTCCTGCAGTCCCCATCTGAAAACCCAGTAGATATCAAGCCAGCTGATATGTCTCAGGGTGGGTGAGATCATCTGATTTGAAGGGTGAAGAACTCAGATACAATAAATATAGAATTCATCTAAGTTACACGAAAATCTGTAGTCTCACTAGGTTTCAAATGTTTGTGATTCAAAGTACAGATTAATAGGAGATTTCAACCAGAAGTTAACTGGGTACATGTATCACTGGAACATTATTACCAAAGCTTAAGAGAAAACAGTTTCTGGGGAGGCTTTTATCCTTTGCCAAATTAACTTGTTTGTTTTCGTCTTTAAACTCAGAGGCTTTAAGGTGATAATCTGTACTACAGATCTCTTGAGGGGGAGCTTTTAGTCCCAGTTAATCTGATCTTCTAGGAGAAGCTATTATTTGTGCCTGCCTAGCCAGTACTCATCTCCTGTTCATCTGGTAACAGCGCGCCCTGGTCTCCCTAGGCATCTATACAATCCTCGCTCTCGGTGCCTGTTGCTGTGACCTTCACCCCCTGGCTGTGCAAGTGTCGGAAAGGGCACACATGTGACCCTGGCCTAGCTCTCTCTCAAATAAATAAAACCGTAAATACATAAACAAACAAACAAACTCACTCTCCTCTGAGTCAAGCCAAACTGAACTGGCTCTAAGATTCCTGTCGTATTATACAAAAAGTCCCATCAGATACACCTTCCACTGGAATACAGTTCAATTTAGAGAAACTTAAGGGTAAACTAAGATTTGCCAACCTTTTAAAGAAAATAAAGCAATGTGCAGAGAAGCAGCAAGGGCCACACACTTCAAAACAGTAATGTGTTTTGGGGTAGAAAAGAGATCTGCAATGTCGAAGACATATGGCTTTTAAAAATAAGGCTAAGGGCAGGGAATACACAGTTTTATGAAATAAAGAAATTATTTTTTAAAACAGAAGTGTAAACTGATACTGTCATCTGTTAAGAGAAAGATATGAAGCAAGGAGGAGGGACAAGGCCACATGCAAGGAAAGACCGTGAGGATCAGAAGTAAGTTAGGCGGGTCCCAAGAACTCAAGTGGGCAGGGAAAAGATTCTCCTGACTAGTTCAACATCTTTTATTGTATGGTTCTGGGAGGTGTCAGGGAGCTCAGAAAGACTGGTCCTGGTGGCCAGAGAGATTAAAAAAACTCAAGACACCTCCCATGGGGAAACGCACAATTAATAAACATGCCAATGCCATGAACTTTTCAAAATACCCTCCATCCTCCACCAGACACACATGGGTACGAGGTTCACTCTCGCTGCTTTTATGCGGGTTTCAAGATGTCTATAGTACGAGGTTTTTAAAAGGTATTTTTAGAGAAGATACAGTCTGAACGAATTAGAAGACCTAAAACCTAAGACCTCTGAAAAGAAAGGAAAATCCCAAGTTTTACGTGAACTTTGTTCTGAAAGTCTGGAGCGCACCATTATATGTGAAGTTACCCAAGTTGTAGTTAAGAGGCAGTGGGACAGCTGCTGAAAACTTTGAGACTGAAAACCTGGAAGGGAATTTTAGTCCCAGTTTTTCCTACAGGAAAACAATTCATCGGCACTTGTGAGATTCAACTAGCATATACTGTACAATAATCTACTTTTGTAAATCGTAAAGCACTACCTATGTGTTATTTTTTAATTATCTGAAAACATACCTGCCTAGTGAACCTCCAGATAACTGAAACTCCTGCAACATTTTATAGAACAGAATAGTATAGAAAACTTCACCAGAGTTTCAAAAATTCTATTAATGAACTCCTACAAAAATTCCAACAGAAAGTCATGGTGTAGGATGAGCAGCCAGCAGTTTGTGAATACCTCCTTAGGCATCAATGATGTTTATCAATAGGAAGAAACACCCAGGGATGCCTATTTGCTGAAAACTTGCTACAAGACGATACTAATAAAACTTCCGTAGTAAGATGGCAGAAGGCCGAAGCTCCTTGTAGAAGCCTCTCAAGCATCTACGATGAATTAGCAAATGAAGATAGTCCTACACTCTTGTCAAAGGAAAACGAAGGGGTGGGAGGACACAGCAGGACATTAGTAAGGAGAGATGGTCAAAGGGAGCTACTGCAACAGAGAGACGCCCAGGCCTAAGCCAGAAGTATCTCAGGGAAGGGGGCAGGTCAGGTCAGCAAAGCCTTTCTATGCAGAGCCCATGGGACAGGCGGCCCTGGAAAGGAAAAGTGGGGGGGCGGGGGGGGTAGTGGGAGCAGTCTGGATTTTTAATTGTGCTAAGTAGTGCAATGACAGGAAGGTTGAGGCTGGAAATGTTTGTGGCAAGGGACAGGGGGCAGAAGCAGCCAAGTTACTGTGCTGGGAAGGTCACACAAAGTTAGGGCCTAGCCGTCCCAGTCAGGACAGCCCGGAGTTACCTCATGCACAAAATCTGACCTGCCTCATCACTATGGACAGAACAAACATCAGATGATATTACGTATATTCTGTCTCTTTCAAAAAAGGTATCTACATTGAAGGAAAAAAAACTCATTTGCCAATCCTGGTGGTTTAAAAGTAGTAATGAAAGTGATAGGTTTACGCTAGACATCATGTTAGGTATCTTTTAACACTAGATTTCACAGATCGGAGAAATCAGGCTCAGAGGTGTTATCAGCAACTCGTCCCACGTATAGTCACAAAACACCTCCTTTGAGTCAGGAACGGTTTTAGAAGCTAGTATTTTACCTAATATTATACACTTAATACGAAAAAGTTGTATAAAAATGCTTTGGTAAACAAATTAAGGATAAACCTGGTAAAAGAATCACTTTGGCAAATGAAATTTAACAGACCAGCTAAAAACAACACTGAACTTTAATTTATACGACTGACATCATTAACATCCAGCGGAGCAATGAGAAAGATGAACAAAAACTGTATATGCTCATCGCCTGAACGAGTAAGGTATTTTTGTGTCTTTCTGGCAATTGGAAGAAAAACTTCCCCCGGGGCAAAGAAATACACAGATAGAAGCAGGTTAAAAAAAAAAAATCTCACCCACGGGTAACCTCGGGACAGAAAAATCAGTTTGACTGAGAACGATGTGAAGTGCCCCATGTCCTCGGAGCAGAACTTCCAGAAAATTCCAGTTCACCTCGGGAAGGAAGAAACGTGGCTATCAGCAGAGTCCGGCTGGACTGCTGGGGAGGAGCCCGCCCACTTGGCCAGTTACGCCGGCTCACAGACACTGCCGGCTCCCGTCCCACGAGCACTCGGGCACGCTCCGAGCCGCTCCTTCTGCTCGGGGGGAGCTCCGGGATCTGAAGTCAGGGAAGAGAATTAGGCTGTTTTCCTGCCCGCTCTGTCTGCGTTTTGCCAGCGCGGAGGCGGGCAGGCGAGGGCAGGCGTTAAGGGTGCAGACACACTGGGAGGAACACACGGCAAAGAGGACGCGCGTGCAAGCCCACCTTCGCCAACCAGGAAGAAGCAGCCCACGGACGCTCTGCGCCCAAGAATACGGGGCTGTCCCCGCAGGAGACGCGGTCCCCGGTGAGGACCTCATCCGCCAACCTCAACCCTGGAAGGCCCAGCGCCGAGGGCAGCCGGCGAGGGCGTCCTAGGACGCGGGGGCCCGGCCGACTGACTCAGGGAGGGGACCCGGCGCAGACCCGGCTACTTCGTGCGGAGCTGCTGCTCCCCGCGAGGGGACAGCGCCCGGGGCTCACCGCCCCAGCCACTCCAAGGACGCCGGTGCGCAAGTCCCGAACGGGCCGAGACGACGTCAAGTGCAATGGGCCCGCCGGCACCCCCGGAGGGAGGCAGCGGGGTCCGCGCCCTGCGGCTCCGGGCCGGCCTCCAGGCGGACGACGGGGCGACGCGGGCGGGGACCGGGGGAGCGGGGCTCTC